TTATTCATATGTGTACATCTTACATATAAATACATAAAGACAGAGAAATTCATACACTATACAAACATAATTGTTAGATAACAATAGGATTATGTACATTTTCTTCAAAAACTATGGAATGAATCTCAGAAAACAACATATATTGACAGGTAAATCATTATAGGGTTAGAAAGTATTATAGATTGAATATTATTATCCATAATAATAAGTGAGGTCAATTGCACATGTCAATCAATCAACCATGAATATTACAAAGAGCAATGTTAATAAGTACATAATAAAACACAACAAAAGAAAGTACTGACCATAGTTTATACCAAGAAAAAAAACAAACAAAAAAACTGGACTATTATTTCTGAAAAAAAACAATAACAATAGAGTTGCACGAGATCGTGGATCGATTGAAATTAGACATTAACATCGTTGGATGCCGGTTCAGTGGTCTAGAGGTTAAGGGTTCGCGTGTGAGACCGAAGATCCTAGGTTCAAGTCCCGGGAACGGGATCGTGTATACGCACTGCTGGGGAGTTCCATATTAAGATGAAACAGCCGTGCAGTGCTTCCAGATTTTCAATGGTGGCCTAACTTAGGTCGACTCGTGATTTCAACTGAAAATAATCTTTATCATAAGTTTCAATTGAAAACTGACAGTAAACATTCACTACAATTCGAACATTTTTAAAGACAATAACAACAAGCAATTAGGAAAGACAAAAAACGAATTTTTACTTAGTATGATAATCTCATACATATTAACTTAACAAAACACGTAGATGGTTTGATAAAACTGATATATACACCACATAAAAAAGAGAAGAAGAGTTGAACAAGTATCATCACACCTATGATGAGAATTGAAGAAAAAGAATGACTACCTGGAGTTCTTAATTAGTTAATTTTATGAACAACGTGTGATCACCCACAGATAGATGTGTATTAAAACAAATGAACATACTGAACACTTGAACAAGAAAAAGGTTAATAATATTGTTATAACGAGGTGCATATTGATGACAAAGAAACTTTGGGATTATTTCACAAATTATTATTATTTTTACACTTTTATGATAACATTTAGAAAACTAATCTATTGTATTTCTATAGTCTCTATATCGTAGTTTCATTGCATCCATTAACTATCGTTATACAATTCATTACTCATTAAATATCGTTAATTAATTATGCACCGTTTGTTTGATTTCCGGCATGATTGTATGTAAAGTGCTATTTTATATTTAAAGCGTCTTACTTACCTACGCCTGTTACGCCTTATAGAGGAACACAGGACGCCGCAATAGCATTCTACACACAACTATGTGCTGGGCAATCCTTTCCAGTTGCTAATCATACCGATCATGCCTACTTCCAATTCCCGACGTAGTGTGCTCTTCAGCCTTCCTCTTTTTCACTTCCCTTCAGCATTTCAAGTTAGGCCTTGCCTCATGATACAGATTGGTGATTTCCGTAATGTATGTCCTATTCACTTCTAATGTCGTTTCCTAATTTCCTCTTCAGCTGGAAGCTGATTTGTTCTTCATAGTAGTTCCTTCTTCCTTGAGTAGACCTTGTAAGGCTTGGAACCTGTATTTATTATTTATTTTATTTTAACACATAGATATTGGTACAAGGAGGCACCAAATACATATGCGCCACACAAATCTCACTTGATATGTGTGAGGGCTGTGATACTGCCCGGGTGCCCAAACCGAAGCAGGCTTGGAACCTGTTGTTGAAAGTTATCTTGAATTCGTCGAGTTTTTCAGTATCTCGAAGGAGGGCTATATAGAACCTCTGTAATGTTGTTTTCCCAGCTGTCCAGTGTTTCTTAACTTCATTTTCATCTTGGCAACCATCAGGTTGTGATCTAAAACTATGTCAGTCCATCTCTTGGTTCTCACTTCTTCATTGACCTTCTGAATTTCCTAGTGATGCAAATATGATCTATCTGGTTCTCGGTAGCGTGGTCCAATGAGACTTATGTAGCTTTGTGTATGCGTTTGTGTGGGAATATTGTGCTGCCCATAACCAATTCGTTGAATGCACATAAATTTGTGAATCTCTCGCCATTCTCGTATGTTTCTCCTGGTCAGTTCGTGTCGGCTCGTGATATCTTCATAGTCGGAATTTTCCATTCCATATTTGATGTTTAGGTCTCCCATCAGGATGGTGAAAGATTGTCAACTGTGTTCTCTTATCGGACTCAAGACTGGGAAGAGATAGAAGCGCTTATACTCGCGATCTAATAAGAATCAGCATTATCTTATCAGTCACTGAAGTTATTAGTGCTAGCCTAGACGTCTCATTGGTCAAGCTACGTAGCCAGTCGAAAGACGGATCAGCATAGTGGAACACGAGAAGAATAAATTAAGATCTCTATTGACGTGTATTCCCCCGAGCTATCGACTAAAAGAGTGCAAGCCAGTGAGTAGTTATAACAAATACATTACTAATGATTGATAAGAATGGTATGTACTGTTTAACAGATAAGAGAGTAAAAAACCATAATTAAGTGAACGCATCCTTTCTGGTTTGATTACTACTAAAAATACCATTAAACTTGATTTCAATACGATATATTAGCTTAAGTACAAAATAAAAGGCAATCAATTTGAACCGGTTCACCAATTTTTCTCAGTTATTGTCGGTTTATTAAAAATTTTCTCTTATTTTAACAATTAGCGTAATTTGGAATCACTGGACGGCCGTTTCGTCCTAGTATGGGACTCCTCAGCAGTGCGCATCCACGAACTCATGATTTCAACCTGTGAAATTTACTAAAATCTCCACAAAACTCATTCTGATAATTAGCGTAATTAACAAACTAACATACATACACACATACACAGAGAATTGGCCTTTATATTAAAAGTGTACAGTATGTTATGACAGTTTCTGTCATACATAACTTAGATTGTGAGTTTCATACCATAAGCTTTAGTATTATTAGTGTCATTACCATGACTGAATATGTGACTGTTACTTTTTCTCTTTTTACGACCCAGCTACTCTTATTGTTCAGTAATCTTGATCACTACTCCACTCTACAAGCCCGAAATCAGAACACGGTTGAACAAGAACATGATTATGTTCCAAATAACAGGAATGGATGAAAGTGGGAATCTGTTATAACCTGTGGACTGCGTGCCTTGTTAATGTATAACGTAACGATACCGCCAACTAGAGAGTAGTGACTTATAGATCGGATCAATGACGCGTAAACCCGTATGAGCAGCCTAGACTCCTGATTGGTCCTACTTCCGCCTAACCCAGTCAGTTAAGTCCAGAACACAAATCCGAGCCTTTGCGATGTGAATCATTATATACCAACCAGACAGACCACATAGTACCATAAAATCGAAAACAACATTTGTACAAGATTTGGTCAACTGTGGCTGTGAATGTGGGAGATAGTAATTAATAGACAGGGCATACTTCAAGAATGGCAAATCGTAAATTAATAGTTCATAGGTCGAAATAAAGCTTAGAATAAGAAGAATATGAATATGAACAGTTAAGTTATTTAATAGTTATACGATAAAAATATACGTTTGGTGTTTGTCCATAAATGGATCCCCAAGTTACCATTCACTATACTTATCAGGACCTAACAGAATCACTATAAGAAAAACGTCAGTATATTTCTAATTTTTACATAAAAAGATTCTATAGTTTTCTCCAAGTATCCATTAGCACTGATTAATTAAACAATATCCAACCAGCGTGCACCAACATAATCCTTCATGGAACACGCTTTAATCTAATATAGGTCCCGCTAACAGTAACTAGTAACCGAAACTACTACTACTACTTACATTGACATAAGTAACAGATGACGTTAGTCGTGAACACAAGGTCTGGTAGCAGAGACAATAGGATCGAAAAGTAAAGAATGGGAACAGGATGCAATTTGTATGAAAATGCAAGAACAATGAAGTCTGAGTCATTTTGAGACAATTGGTGGACATTTTGCAAATTACGTATTTGATTGTTAAATTTTATTGACAAGTCCTGTAATTTTGTGTTAAATACATTCGATTGTCTCCACTCCTGTTCTGTTCACTACACTATGACAAGCCATTGAGATGATAGTCAAATGAATGTGTATATTTTTAGAATGAAGTTAACAATTTCCTACTCTATGAATATTAAAATACAACTGACTTCAACTAATTGGTTGTCAGTTAACTTAAATTTTAGAACACTTTCATTTCTAAAATTACCACTAAATATCAGCATCAATTGAGGGTTGATAATACGCATACGTTGGGAAGAGAGAGAGAGAGAGAAAGAGTCAGTCAATAACAACGTAGAATTTCGTATGTACGTACATCAGTTCGAGTTGCCATACCACATTAGCACAAGAGAGAAAGAGGGAGAGATGAGATGAAATTTTAAATTACTGGAAGAACAAAAATATAAAACACACTTTAATTATACTTAATAATCTAATACAAATGATGAAGAAATATTTTTCAAAGAATGATCTCAGTGTTATTTATATAAACAACACTACTGTTTATATTTCTGTTTAGATAACCTTGAAATACAGATAAGCAAAGTGTTGATTAAAAAGGATAATTAACGTTCATCGATCAATAGAAGAAACGAATGAAAATAAAGCAAGATTTATCGTTTTTAACTAAGATTCGGCACGACATAAAAACGTAGTTTGACACAATTTCGTTGATGTTAAGTACTATAAATGTCCCGTCTCTATTGATATGTGTGATTCCTGAGAAAATTGCCTTGATATTGGCAATGATTGTCTGGAATTCGTAGCTCCGTCAGTAACGCATTAGCGTTTGAGGAGAAAAGCATTAGGTTTGAGTATGTGTGGATATCAATATTAGGGATCCAGGAGTATCTAGTTTACTAGTCCTAAATATGATGAAATACGCATCCTGTAATCCATTACTAGCCACTAATCAATTATAGTAAAAACGTAATAGTAAAAAAATATTAAATTGATTCTTCCTAACAATTTCTAAAATATAACTTACAGGATTTGTCAGTTTATTCAAAATAAAATTGATTGTTTTCAAAAACATTGCAGCATCTTCTTGTTCCGGAAAATGTAAACCATATACTCTAGAAGTGATTGGATCACGCCATTCATGAAATTGACCATGTATTTGATACTCGAGTCCAGCTTTTAACACTGAATTAACAACAACCTAAGAGATAAAAAAGAACAATAATAATAGAGAGATGAGAATGTCGATGGATAAGAAAAAGTTGATAAGACGTGAAATAAAGTGAAATGAAACTCGTTCAGTATTTTTTTATTGTAGATCATATGCAAAAAGAAATGAGATATCATAATTGAAACTCAGCTTGAAACATTGAGTAAAGGTAACTATTTGAAAGTTAAATTAAAGTATTATGTGAATCCTTTGTTAAAAGAATGTATGAGAACGTTATATATAGATTGAATTTTGCAAATTATTTACAGCTGATTTGAGACACACATCGATAACCATCTAATCTCATTAGTGATGTGTTTAGTTCCCAGAGTCTCTTAAAACTACCAGTCACTATTTTTTACTAGAACTTCATGACATATTCAAGTAAGTTAATAGAGAGCTGACCGTTACAGTTAAGTTGAACAGTTTTCGTGGAAGTCTATTTAATTTATATTCAACATAGATTGATCTAAGCTAAGGTACCACTAGAAAGCCAACAAAGGTCGATATATGTTTCATCCTACCATACAACTGCCTGGTACTGCGCACCATGACACCACCAGGGATCGACCTCAGGCCATTCAGGTCTTGTGGTGAGCGTTCAACTATCCCAATTCAGGTTGGCTTCCAGATGTACAGTCTTAACCTCAATTGATTCGCATTATAAAGGGACATTCATCCAACGCCATACTGTTGACAACGGTTTCAATTCCGATATATCCAGTGATATTTTAACTAAGATCAGTCTAAGATGAGTGTAGATGACATATCAAATCAAACTCCATGAAAACGTTTTAGCTAAATTATCTACACATGAATTTTTAATGGGATCCGTCTGAGAGTCTAGTTCCACTGTTTTCAAAGGAAAAAAGACAATTAAAACTAAAATGATTAAAGATAAATAAAGTTGAACTCTATTTCTGTCAAAAAAGGTGAACCACACTGGCAAGAGAAACGTTGAAACGATCGAATTTCTATTGTTAAAATTTAGAACCGATTAACAGTTAATATATTTAATAACTATGATGAAAGTCGCCTAAGTAACTATGTCCGAAATAATGTAGCCCACTGTAGATCAAGTAGTTTAAATGGTTACAATACTCAGATTTCAACCACGAAATCACTGGTTTGAGTTCTGGCCCTATCTACTCACTTTGGACAACCGGATGGAATAACATAAAAGAAATACCTCAAGGCTATTATATATAAACTTATTAGTTAGCAAATGAACTGAAATATTAAATCATAAACTACTAGAGACTTTATTGAACAAGACCAAACAATCTTACATGTAAGATATAGTCGATTTATTAAGAGCTGAGTAACTAGACTATTAGATTACATCATTACTACGTGATTTTTAACACGTTGTTTGACTTTTACAGTCCGTTTTCTGACAAAATAAGAATGATAACTACAAAATAACAAATATATCAACCATTTTATTTATTAGAATACATAAAACAGGAGTTGGTGCGTAGATCAGAAAATGTAATGATGATTAAAGTTCGGAAATTCCGATCATGACTAAACACCTCTGATTGCAAATTCCACCATAGTTACTTCAGCTGGAAAAATTCTGAGAACTAAGAAGCACTAAAGAAATGCCTCGTACAATTTTAAAGCTACTCGGTTGTACGGACTTAGTGGAGATCATACTAGCAGCAACCAATCAACGGTTATAGTTAACACAGAGCCTGGAATGTGTCAGGTTAAGTTGCTATAACTCAGTGGCTGATAATGAAATATCCAGGCCATAATGCGAAACTCTATGACAGAGATAATTCAAATGTGTATACAAAAGAACAATCAGTAGTGGGTGAATAGTCTAAACCATAAATTGTTGGTTCGAAAATTCAAGCTTATTGCGTCTATAATCTAGGTTTTATGATAGAATTATTATTCTTCGTTGTATAATGTCATCAGGTTATTTGACACATATTTTAAGACTCCTAGTTTGATCCTTAACTGGGTCGTGAGTGAGCATTGTTGAGGAAATTCAAATTAAGATTGAAGAGATAACCAATATTTCCTGGTTTTCATTTGTTCATCAGTTGATATAAAACTGTAACACAAATCAATTTAAATTTATTCTATATGAATTTATAGCCTCTTCAGATGAGTTTTTTTTTCGATAAGCTAACACTTAGTCTGAGTTCAAAAATTCCATTCTAAAAATTTGAAATATATGCAAAGACAAAAAGTCTTGAAGTTATGAATGATTACAACATTTTTCTTGTTATTGAGAATAACATTTTGCATTTTCTATAGTAAAATAAACTAAGCACTATTGAACTGCATGGACATAATATACATTTAATCAGTAGAACAACAGCTATGAATGTTATTCAATGTTACCAAACAAACTTAATGTCAAATATTATCAAGATTCTACAAAGTAATTAAAAATAACAAGTTGAATACAAAGTCAAGGGTACGTGTAAATTCAAAAAAGTGTAATGTTATACAAAAGATAAAATATTTGAAAATGTTAATTAACTGGCAAGTGGTAGATGCAGACTATTTGGTTGGAGTGCACGTAACTAACGTATCCAATGGTTGGAGACTCTGGGTGACATGGCTCAGAAGCGATCACAATGGCGTAGGTGTATACACTCTTTGCCTTTCTTTAAACTATGAGATTAAAATCGCTTCATATCTTTCTTTCTATGAACTAATTCTTTCTTCCTCATATGAAATCTTTCTTTTATACATTACTACCATTGAAATGACTACTTTGATGAATTTAGTTTTCGTCTTGTTGTACTAATGAAGTGTGGGGACTTGTGTCGATGCATATATATGCCTGGTCCTACGTTGTAGCTGACTAAACTGGCAAGTGTTTACTTTTACAGTTAGAGAAATGGAATGAATTAGTGAGAAGAATTAATGATAATTATTTATTGTAAATATTGACATCTCGGCGAGACTCTAATTTATGGACGACCTTTGAACGAATCTTAAGTGACCTTGAGAAATATTAGCTAATCAGAAAACAGTCAGTATAGAGTAAAAATATGTTATACAAAACCAAGGAAATAAAGTGGATACACTCCTTATACGTGGTTCAAAAACTTGTCAAGCTTAGAAAGAGGTTCAGAGGTTCTAAAGTCGTAATGCATGGACTAGAGGAAATCATCCATACGGTTACAGAATAGTCGGCCTCTGGAGTCATGATAAAGTCTTAAAAACTCTTTCAGCCTCGACCACATAGGTTCAGTATTGTTTGTGTGCACACCGGTTGATGCTACTTGTGGATAACGACACGATGCACATAACCAAGCCTATGTAGGAGTCTGTACGCTCTCCAATCATCCGTATATATATTGTAGTACCTGGCTGCAGCCAGTGTTACTGGTGCTTTTATTATCCAGTTCGCAATAATTGTCGTAATTCGCCGCAGTGAGGAATTATATATGGGATTTCATCACGAACTGATATCAGCTATAATGCCAGAAATTTATTTAGCCAAATGGATGAAAGGCTTTCGCGTTAAGATCCGAGATCAATTATCTTATACCTGATTGATTCGTCCACAAATTATGGTCTTGCCGTTTTATTTGTTATAGCCGCTCAATTATCACGTTTTGTATAAAATCCTCTGTGAACCGATCGTACGTTAGCATTAAGCACTGAAGTTGGCGCCGTGACCTTGAAATCCCTAAAACGCCTCTAATTGGCTCGTTCATACATTAGAGTCTCCCCGACATCTCTCTATAGAAATACACTAGCATTATAAACCAATTCTGAAAATATCACTTTTTCCTAAATACCATTTACAATCGATTATAAACATCCTAAATGTGCAAATATATGGATATTCAAAACAAAAAACCCGTTTTCTTAATAAAAAAAGGAAATCACACCATTACTGGTAATATAGCAATAATAATTAACAACATAAATATATTATTAACTTGATTACATCATAAATGGAATTGTTTATATTACATGATTTGGTAAAGTTTAACTAGCATACACAGTAACATTAATTTTTCTCAATAAATGAAAAACTGAAACAAATTGGTCAATACTATATTTATTCACAAATTAACCTATAAGAGAGAGTACAAAACCACGTTAACCATGTTCACAAACATCCTAACAAAGTTAATTTTTATAATGTAATATGGGAATTCTGTTGTCGTAGGTGACTCGAACTATTAACGGTTTCGTTTCATTTATTCCCCTAATTATCCTTAACTAACCAAATATGTTTTCAGTTTGCGCAACGATACTCGATGATAAGACACGCAATCAAAGTTGACAGAATACAAAAGGATAGCCTACATAATTTAATAGATGACCTAAAAGAATTCTTCAAGAATTTGGATGCAACAGAGGGATGGATCATGTCGTTGGTTGGTAAACAATTAATCCTATAAATTTTAACTTGTTTGACTGATTGTAAATATTAGGTAGGTGTTGTTCTTGAAGTCGAAATTCGTCAGAAGATTTTCATCAACCACCTAGCCCACCAGCCTGAAAGCTGTCACAAATCAAGACAGAATGTATAGCTATTTTGTTTTAGTTTATAACAGGTCAGTAGCCCTCCAAAATGGTCAGTGATAATGTATCACTATCAATCCTTTATAATTCGAGGTACGTCATGTGGACGAGTACAAAATAGGACGAAACCTGGGTCCTGAGTTTCCCACCAACCATCTCTAATCAACTCAACACCTCAACATAGTAAACGTAATATCGAGTCATTCAGACTAGTGGTTTAGAGATTAAATGTAATATGTTCCAAAAGTTCATACAGCATCGAATCCATGATTTCTAAGCGCCTTGTGGAACGATAGTCCTAAAGTGTTAAAGTGAAATTCAATGACCCACTATTTGAATTGTAGTTAACTGAGAATATATTACATCAACGGCAGCTGAATTTCAACGATATGCAACTAACTGTTTCACAAATAAAATCCAATTAACATTGATATGTAATAGGTTTTACTAACTAAACATACGAGAATAATTTAAAGACGATA